GTACTAAGGACCTAACAGCTTGGGTGTCACTGGACTTGAGATTCTGGATAAACACCAGATAGATGCCATCAGACAAAAAAAGCATATGTGTCAGTGTCATAAAGAGGACTGTGTGTTCAGACTGGTGTAAACAGATAGCACTCTGCAACTTGTTCCAGTTGCCAGGTATGAGTCAGGTAGCCAGTTTGATTAACAGCTGCTTTTATTTCCCTAAATGCATCATTCTAGAGTGAATGAGCAAGTGGGAAGAACTACCAGCAATGGTCATACATAACCTGAAAAAAAAAGAAACTCAGCAGAGGAAACAGGAAGTCCTGTAATTTGCATCCTAAGGAAGATGGTCCTTCAAGAGCTTCTGCCCATACAGTTCTCAAGTTTTGACCGAATAAGGAAACCCCGAGCAGCGCTTGCCTCAAAGACAAAGCGGGTGTCATTTTTTACTCACAGAACTACTGCTAGTGATAAATACCACTTCTGTTGATTTTACAGCGAGACCACAATTGCTCCCAAGGAGATGGATGAGCTACAAATTTAGGGACTTTCTTTGCCTTTTTCTCTTCCAAAGTGATTCATAACATAAGCAATGTTCGGCATTTTTGCATCGCTTTGTCAGGTGAGAAATAACCATTTTGCATACTGCTCTGCCTGTACCACCAATGTTGGTCCCATAGTAAAACAAGACAATACCGATAATGACATCAGACACGCAATCATCCTTCATATATGGTCACAGGCACAATTTTCCGATTTTATTGGAGGTTTTGGTTCTTTCAGATTGGAGATTAATCTGTTGATAATGTCTAAAAAGGTGAACAATATTTCTATTGGTTCCTTCATGTAGTTCATGCTATCATGTGAATCTATATATTTCCTCCTTTGTAGTCATTTGTGAGACACAGAGAAACACATGCGGAGTTTGGTCTAGGCAGTGCCTAACAGAGAGTGAAGTTTCATCTGTCCACAATCAGGATGGCAACAAAAGGACATCTTTCTACTCCAGCGTTGTGGCTGCTTCTCCTCTCCATTCAGGTCTCCCTGGGTAAGTACACACTTTATTTCACATAAGGCAGTGAGATAGG